GGCCCCAGATATAAAGGAGAGGGACTTTTGATGTGAAGGGGGCTCCTGATGCGAAGGAGGGGGGCTCCAGATTGCAGGGGGTAATTGCCTTTTCCCAAATTCACCTGGGAAAGTGGACTTACCCTTTAAGTGATTATATTTTACTATGGTGGAGGAAATTAGGATATAGTGACACACTAATTAGATCTGATGTACGAGTGACTTTTATATGCCCCATTTTTTGAAAATAAGATAAGGGAACCAGCTGAGTGCCATTTCTTTATCATTTCCTTTATTTATAAACAATTATTTTCCTGCTCATTAGTTCCATCTAGTGGCTATAATGTCTTATTACAACACACTACATTCAAACTGGGAAAAATATGTAAGGAAAATTTGCAGGGTGAAGGACCCTCCAAATTGTTTATCAATAGACCCCCACCCCATAAAAAGGTTAAACGTGAGGCTGAAATCTATTATTTATATCAGTGATCCTGCTTTTTTGTGTGTTGTTTGTTATACATGATTTAAAATCTATCTGCTATCATTACATGTGGCATAACATACCTTGTATAGCTTGTTGCGCATAATTTCAATATTCATTTCATCCATGTCATTTTCTGACAAGCAGTCTTGGAAAAATTCAGCTACAATAACAACATAACATGTTATCAAGTATAAAATCTGAAAATATTTACTATGACATTTACTTTTTAGATGTACAGTTCACTGAGGTCTAATGCATATGAGCATCAAACATGGCTTTGCTCTAACTTGTGTCACACTGTACTGGCTGGGCCTCATTTAACTTTATGCTTACTGATGGTTGTCATACACACATGGCCGAGGACAGTATACAATTGTATATTGGTGAACACATACTGGACATGGGTATTCCTGTGTCTAGGTGTGTATGACATCCTAATAATGCCTGTCCAGAGTTCTAGTGGGTGATGAAGATATATTAATTAATAACTGTTAAAACACTAATTTTTCTGATAAGACAAAGAATGGGTGAGTTTGAACTGTTAGGCTTCCATACATAGGAGTCCAATGCTCACTGGGTGCACCCTGACCAACAGAGGGTATTGAGGAGTTGAGTAGTTGAATGCACATTAGGACTTAGCAGTGTCTGTTTTGCTCCAAGCTGAAATAAAGGTCGACTCCATGCTGTCATTATTGACATTGCAGGCTCAGTTCTTCCTATGTCTCAGCCAGACAGGCACCTTCTCAGGAATGCACTCCAGAAAGGTTTGATAATGGCAATCATATCAAACTAAAATAAAAAATGTCCATTATGGCTTCTTGAGAATGTGCCCCATTCAAACATAAATAATGTGCAGACCCTGGATAGGCCACATAGTATTAACCCAAGAGAGGACTTAAAAATGGCTTATCCTTTAAACACAAGCATCAGCTGCTCATGTGTGTTTCAGTTAGTGATGAGGTTCAAGTTAACCATAGGTTTGTCGCAAATCCCTTGGGTTCTCAGAGTTCATGAATCGGGAACTTTTGGCTGAAAAGTTTGCAGGTTTGCCACCAGAAATAAGGGACAGCATTTAACAGCATAGCCTTTGCCCAAGGTCAACTGAGTGAGAAGAACCAATACCTTGAAGGAATGAATAACCCAGCCCCTGTTTCATAAACAGCTGGGCTCACAGCAACCATATTGTCAGTGTTTGCTGGAGCTGTTAAGGAAAGCATATAATTCTATGTAGGGAGGCATACTGTTTGTTTGTTTTTTTAATTATTTAAATCTTGGCATTGGTACACATTCGCCCATGGCAATGCTTTTGGCATTGGTACATGTCCCCCATAGCAGTGCCTGGCTTCCCATACCTTTTGTTTGACAGTTGCTTACTTATTTGCCCTCCAATTGGCCAGAACTGAATAACAAGATTGCCTGACCCCCTTCCCCTAAAGACTTCAATAGGGTTCACAAAACTGTTTGCAAACCCAGCCCAGGCAAATTTCCTCATCCCTAGTTTCAGCCCTGATTGAGACATGTTAGACCACAATATACATAAAGCTCTCGACTATGAACAATTATTGCCTTATACAAATTTAATAACTATGACACTTAAAAAGCAGCTAAAATGGGAACTTTCAACCCACCATTGCCTACTCTATTGGGGGTATATCATTGTGCAAAGTGCATACAATGGCCAATTGTAAGCTTGCTCTGGTTTTTTTTTTCTTCTTTTCTCCCCACTTGTGTTCACCAACCAGTGGTTCAAGAGTCACAAGTAGCTCTCCCCTGCATTTGATGTAGCTCTCAGCTGCCCCTCAGATAGCCTAGGTCACATGGTCTATGGCTGTTGTTTCCAATCAACAGTGAGATCAGAGGATTAAGAAGGCTGCCTACATGTATATAGATAATTACAAACTATATTATAAGTTCATAAACTAATATTTTATAACGTATTATAATTATCATATTACATTTTTATTTTACAAATAAATATTAAGTACAGGGTGCCTCCACACTTTAGTGTATACAAAGCATGCTGGGTTCTCTAATAAGAAAGCCTTCTCTATGAGGAGAGTAAAGGTTGTGGCTCGGCCGGATACTTT